ATTTTTGAGGACAACCAAGCTTGTATAAAACTAGTTGCTAACAAGAAATTCAGTAATAGAACTAAACACATTTCAACTAAGTTTCACTTTATTAGAGATTTAAAAGAAAAAGAAATAATGTTTTTTGAATATTGCCCAACAGAATATATGTTAGCCGATATGTTAACAAAATCTCTCAACAGTGTTAAGTTAAAATATTTTTGCAGTAAATGTGGACTAATTTAAAGACAATTAAGGTTTAATCGTTGAGGAAGGGTGTTGGAAGTGCAACGATTCTGTTAATGTAAAAGTGACAAATACTGTAAGTTCCAAGAGTCTATGTCTAGGGTTGGAGGGTTGTTTATAACCTCAGGTCAAAATTTTAGTCAGTAAGGAACTGTACTCCGACGCGAAAGGTTTAGCTCATTTTTTTGTATCCAATACTTTCATTCTCAAAATATAAACTGAACATTTATACATTGTATTTGTGTTTGACTTTATTTATTTTACAATCCTTATTTACACATTAATCGTTTAAAATCTTAATGTTCAATTCAATAAACTGCGCGGTGCTTATTTTTCGCCAACAATTTTCTTCAAACCTTTCAAGTTATTTATGGAAAAGAATTCATGTCGTATAATTTCCACAATTTACTTCACCTTTGTAAAGATGTTGAAATCAATGGTCCTGTAGATAGATTTTCTGCATTCAAATTCGAAAATTTCATGACAAGTATTAAAAGAAAATTAAGAAAAAAGAATCAATCTTTACAGCAATTAAGCAAAAGATACGCGGAAATTGAGGTATCGAAAAAAATAAACAATCCAAAATTCAAACATAACACTACTTTGAAGCGTTCACATTTTGATGGCCCATTAACAAACGACAATTTAAAAATTACTCGACAGTACAAAATACTTGATCATGAATCATTTCACATTGATTGTGAAAGTATCAGAGATAACTGTGTCCTTTTTAAAGATGGATCTATCTCAACAATATTAAATATTGTAGAATCTGGAAAAAACAATATCTATTTTATCGGAAAGAAATGCTTGTCACAGGGAGATATTTATGACATTCCATGTCATTCAAGTGACTATAATATTAATCAAATAACTGAAACTGACAATGAATTATTCTGTTGGCCATTAACTGAATTGAAAGCCAAATTTTGGAAAATTCCTACGAATAACATGAAATATGCAGTTTTCCCAATTCTCCACACAAATTCCTCATGAAAAATTTTTCTTACAAATGATTTGAAATTATCATTCCAATTTTTTAAAATTTTTTCATAAGAAAACGATTATTCTAATTTGGAGTTTTGACTGCCTAATTAAAATGTTGGTAAGTTATTTATAATGTTCTATATTATAAAACTGAAATTACATACAAAGAAAGCAGTTCAAAAAAATTCAAAGGTTTTAAAATTCAAAATTAAATTCAAAATTCCCTACTCATTAATAACTATTTAAAAATTAATGAAAAGTTAATGAGATGATTTTCAAAATTATCAATTTTTTTAATTGTAATTATAAAATATTTATGAAAACAAGTAAGCAAATATCTTAAATTAAATTTATTTATTAATTTATTGTAATAAATTTCAAGCAGTCCTTGGAGAAATAATTAAATAATTAAATTACTGTCTTTAATTGATTTATTACATTCTGTTTATGTAATTATTTGATAATTCGTTTCATTTTTTAATTAAAAATTATTGAAATATCTGGCTACACTTAATAAGAGTTTTTTGTTACAGATTGAGCGAGCAATAATTAGCAGTTTCATTAACTCTAATAATAGTGTTACTAAAGGAACAAAAATTCGTCAAACAGTAACTGATCCTTCTTGACTCACAATCAGAAAAGTATCAGAAAATTCTCCTTTTTTTGGAATGCAATTCCGTCGAGATTGCTTGATATTTACTTTTCCTTGTTGTGATATCTCGTTCTAAATTTTATTACTCTGTAAATCTACATCTCTACCAAGAATTGACTACTGGCGCAAAACTGCGCTAGTACAACCAGTACTGTAGCGGTACTGGCACCAGTACTGCGCCAGTAGTGAACTCTGACAATTTTTGGTAGGTATTAATTAAATTCTAATAATAGAAACAGAATACGTTACTTACTAGTTTGAAGTTGAATGCAACATTATTGTAAATGAGATTTGGTCAATTAAACTTTAACACTTAATATTAGAGAGTGATCCTAGTAAGGGTTATCACAATATTGCTTTGAATAATAATACTGATTTTTCATTTAACAGAGCAAAGCAAAATATGGAAAATAGTGATCCAGAAAATAAAGAACACAATTACAAAGAACATGGAGACGATGACTCCGATTTGTATGAAAAAATTAATTACAATTTTTTATTATTGTCATAAATATTATGTTCAATTTTTATTATAAATAAAAAATACATGTCTTACGTAATTTCTATTATTTTATCTAAGGTATTTTTGGGTAGTTGAGCTAGTGAAAATATTACAGAAGAAATGAAGGAATCCTGGGATTTTTACAAAAGTATTATTATGTGAGTGATTCTCTTTTGTGACAACAAAAAGTCCTCCATTAATACCTAAATTTCTCTACATTCTTTGATTTTTCTTAAAATTCAAGTCTTTCATTTTCTAAAATATTTTTTTGAGTATTTTTGAATTTTTATTTAAATATTTCAGAATTTATATTCGAAATACTCGTGAAATGTTACGTCGAAACATTTCTAATACATTCAAAGAAATGTTTCAGCAACATTACTGAAAAATGTTCGAGCAATTTTAAAACAAATTTTTTAGAATATTTCTTTGTAATATTTCTGGAATCTTTCATTGGAATGTTTAATAAGTCGGACATAGCAATGTTTTCGCAACATTGCTGCAATGTTACGTTAGAATATTCCGAATGTTGCAATAAAATATTGCAGCAATGTTGCTGAAATGTTATGTGTTATGTGGGTTTAGCCAACTTGTTATCATTTATTTTCTTACACGATACAAATACAAATTCCAATAGCAGTAACTAATGTTGCGTATATTAATAAGAACAAGAAGTGATAGAAAATTTGCGTAATCTAATGTTTGCATCTGCTGTGTTCTAGGGAAAATACTCTCTTATTATTTTTGTTGACAGTGCGGATTTAAAATTACAATATTGATCATCCAACTTTTATTCCCAAAAATTATAGTTATGTATTATTATTATTACTATTTTTACATTTAATAAGTATAAAAAAATTGCACTAGTAATTTCAACTGATCTGCACATCGTAATGAAGCATTTTTTCATAATAATGCATAAAAAAACAATAAATACATAAAAAGTCATGCCGGAGGATCGGTTACGTTTTTGAATCTTTGAAATTATGTTCATTTAGTGTCCAGAGATTCAAAATATATAAGAGTTTTTTTCGGCATCGGGGACCAACTTTTTCTTCATTTAAGACTGGTGTGCATATTCGAGAAAATGATTAAATTATTTAGTAGCAATTAAATATCAATAGTTAGTTCATTTTATTTTCAATTTCAGAAAATAAGTTTGACGATAAATCTTTTTCTTTGTTAACTAAAAAGGATATTAAAGAAATTATACCCGAAGCTGGTCCGGAACTTAATTTTGAATGAAGATACTTTCAACATTTTAAATCAGTATACTTTTACTTTTAACTGTAAACAAAAATATTTATAATTCGTTTACTTAAAAAAATTGAAAATAGTTATAATTTTTGTATTTAATTGACATATGCAATTTGGGAGATAAGTAAAAATTTCATATAAAATTCTTAATTATTATATTAAAGTTGCTTGTCAGTTTTTCATTTTTTATATATGTACAATTTTTTTAAAGAGTGATAATGCCAGTGCATCAGAAATTGTTTCCGCGTTACCCAGTCTCAAAACTTCCACTAATTCATCAAAAAAAATATTGATGGCAATTCAAAAACTTTTGAATCAAATTCAAGAAAATAACTGTAAGAATACATTTTATAATTTATACACTTTTATTATTTATTATATATTTTCATATTGTGTTCTTACTAAATTTTTAATTTACTTTTAATTTGAAGGGGTTAATGCAGTAGTTTAAGCGAATGGCTCTTTGAGGGAAGAAAGTGAACCACCAAATAAAAAAAGAGAAATATCAATAATAATTGATCAAGCAGAAAAACAACCAGAATGTTTAATATTTCCAAATGTAAGTTTTATGTTTTTATTTTTGTTTAAAATTTATCAAGGTTTAATTCATTATATTTTTCTAAAAACCATTGAGGCCTCATTTATAAAAAATGATACTTTCAAAAATATTACTTTATTTCGCTCTTCACCTAATGTCGTATAATATATACGTTCTAGGGTTTGAAAGCTTCTTTGCAAAGTAATGTACAAGGAAAAATCTTACTCAAATCCGGTGAAAATTTGACTTCTACAACAAGAAACGAATTGGCAAGATGTATCGTGGATCATCTTTTTAAATGTTTTTCAATTAAACATATGTACGTTTATTTGCAAACGAATTTTAAATAATTGTAAATGTAATATTTTAAATTCTCACGACTTGAAACTCACTTAAACTTTTGCAACATTAAAAAGGAGATATTTATCGCAGCAAGCCAAGAAATAGTTCTTGCTTATCCAAATAAGAGTTCAAATGTTTATTTTGTACCTGGAACCTCTGCAACTAGATTTTCTCCAAAAACGTTTAATACAGTAAAGTTGTGGAGCCGTTATAATAACGTGAAAGCTAAGTTGGGTCCGTATACCCATATAAGGGAAATTAATAAAGAAAACGCAACTTGCCAGCAAAGTATGTAATATTAAGTTCTTTTAAACATTTGCCATTATTACACTCATATAAAACTTATGCATTTGTCCTAGATTCACTTGTCTCAACAGAAAACAAAGATTTGAACAAGGATCGATTAGCAGCTTATCAGTATTTAAAAAATAATGTGGGTATACTTGAAGAACAAAAAGTTCATTGGCAGCTTTGTATTAAAGAGTGTTCGAGTTTTCTAGAAACGCATTCAATTTTCGATTACCTTAACTTGTTTCCCGTTTTGCGTACTCAAATTGGATATGAATTGCTTTTATTAGATTTTTACTGCAGTTTATGAGAAACAAAAAGTTTTTTTATACGCTATTTAGAAGCATTTGTCGCGTAGTATATTATTACTTAGAATTCAAAGGAAACAACTTCCTGAAGATTTGCTTGAAAACCCACAGGGTAAAAAATTTTTAATGTTTTTTTTCTTTACTCTACATTTTATTTAATAAATTTCATAATATTGATGAATTTTTTAATTGATTTAAATTTTTCTTTGAAGATCTGACTATATTGAAGTATACGCCATTCATGTTTAACCCGGGTACTATACGCGACACTAAAAAGAACACTAACTTTAAACCTACGAAAAAGGAATTGTCAGAGGCATTTATTTTACAAGTTCATGTAAGACTTTTAAATATATACTCAATTTCAGTCTAATGAAGTGATTCTTTAACTTATAACTTTGTTTAACTGTTTTTTCGACTTAACTTTGATATTATTATAAACTTTATGTTTTCGATTTATATGTACATGATTAATAAGATTTGATACTTTCAGGACTTGACTACTTTTAATGAACAGATAAAATTAAGAGAAAAGATTATTTTTGACAAAGGAGACACTCTCCAACCATTGATTGTAATTGTTGGTCCAGAAACAGATTACACCATTTATGTTTATGTAGATGGAATGAAATATTTTATGAAGAGTTTGATTAAAGCAGTCGATGTTTGTTTTAAATTGTTTCACGTATTTAACGCGAATTATCCTAAAACTGGTCAACAGATATGAAAATTCATTCAACGTTTCATTTACCACATACATACGGATGGAGATCCCAGTAAAAATGCATTATGCCCAATCATCTGCAATATTTTTCGTGTCTAAAAAGCTGCTAAAATAATATGAAAAACTATTTAAACATTGAAAAAACAGTAGAAAATACTTAATTCTTGATATATACAGAAAAAGAAAGTATAAAAATAGCTCGATCGAGGAAAAAGAAAGAGTTTTCCGAAAAATCACTTTTTAACTGACAGTATACTGCTGTACTTGACATTTTATGGGTAAAAAAGAAAAGATTATGATAATGAGTTAAACTTCATTATCGACTCTCAATATTTGTCGAATGGTAAAATATAATAGTAGATTTCTTTGATTTTTTAAAAAAGGAATAATTAAGCAAATTAAAAGTTATTGCCAGTGCAGTGAAATTAAAAAATTTTAAAAAACGTGAATAGTCCTATAAGTTTTAAATCGGTGTAATAAAATTTGTAAAAATTACTTTTTAGTATTATTATCTATTTATTAATAATTACTTTTAACTATTTATGATTGTTATTTAATTATATTACAGTGAAAAAATGTGTATATATAGTGTAGTGTAATAAGGAAATTTGAAAATTGGTAAGTATAAAAAATAACAGATTTTATTTATTTTATAAATTAGTTGGAAAATATATTAATATAATATAATTATTATACCCGAGTAGAAATCCCCAAGGTATGCCTAAAATGATAATTGGCCCTAAGCTGGTCCTAAGTTGGCAGAAAATGTTAATATTTCCTAATTTGGTCCTAACTTGGTCCTGCTTTTACAAGACATTTTAGTAATATCGGAGTATTTTGGCATTATTAATTATAATTAATAATAATATTATAATAATAATATAATTATAATAATAAAATAATAAAAAAATATATAAATACAATAATAAAAATAATAAAAAAAATAAAAATATACCATAGTTTTTTAAAAATTTTAATTAATTATTAATTAAATTTATATTAAACAAAATTAGAAGGGTTACATTTAATTTGAGTTTTTTTGCCCCTACTTTTTCAACCCTAGCAGACGAAACGGACGAACGAAACTATAAGCAGAAGTTATTTAGAGGTTAAGTTCTTGTGTAAAAAGTGCAATGTAATTCTGCTTGTTTATTGATGAGTGTTAATAAAATACAGTTAAATGAAAATATAAATCCAGTCACATTAATGACAATGGAGCGAGATCAGATTGGAAAAGAAGAAAATCGTGTTAGAAATGAGAAATTCAATAGAATTCAACGAAGTTTGCGAGATCTTGAATCATGCTCTATTGACATGTCTTTAGAAGATACTTTTGAAGGTAAGTAATATATATATATATATATTCATATTTAAGCTACAATGTGTAATGTGAATATAATTATACTGTTCATTTATTACTCATCTTCATATCAGATAAATAGCACAAGCACTAATTTTTGGTTTTAACAGTTGACGCGTATCACTTTTAGGTTATGCACCCACACAATATAAAAAGTTTCAGAGGAATTTTACATTGGTACATTTATAACCCATTTTAACCCATTAACGACCGCCAGGACGAAAAATTTACCTTCACTTAGCAGCTGTTATTTTATATAAAAAAAAATTCAAAAAATTCAGGATAGCCCATTTCTAACGTAAAATTTATCGCTCTTTTCGATTCTAAAGTCCAAATTTAATAATAATTAAATCCTTAATATTTATAACAATTTTATTGCAAAAAAACATGATTTTCTGCAAAAAAATTTTTATTCAAAAAATATTTTGACAATAATTCAACATGGCGGATCCAATATGGCGGACAATTATTTTAAAAACTCAATGGATTTATCTGAAATTTGTTACTCGGGCGTTTTTGGGGTCGCCGGTTACGAATCTGAAGTTACTATTCAATAATTTAACATGGCGGATTCGAGATAGCCTACAAATATTAAAAGTCACCGAAATTGTTGAAAATCAATACTTATTGAGTTTTTGGGGTCGTTGATTTCGAATTACAGTAATAAAATAGTAGATCAGTAATAAAAAATGTGTTCGATTTTAATATAAAGTGAAGTAATTCGAAATCAACGACCCCAAAAACTCAATAAGTATTGATTTTTAAGCCAATTCGGTGCATTTTAAAATTTGTAGGCTATTTCGAATCCGCCATGTTGAATTATTGAAAAGTAACTTTAGATTCGTAACCGGCGACCCTAAAAACCCCCGAGTAACAAATTTCAGATAAATCCATTGAGTTTTTGAAAAAATTGTCCGCCATATTGGATCCGCCATTTTGAATTATTGAAAAATAACTTCAGATTCGTAACCGGCGACCCCAAAAACCCCCGAGTAACAAATTTCAGATAAATCCATTGAGTTTTTAAAAAAATTGTCTGCCATATTGGATCCGCCATTTTGAATTTTTGAAAACTTATACCGTATTCGTGTTTAGTGACCCAAAAAACATAAGTATATAGTGCAGAAATAGAAATAATTCATCAATATATTATTTTTTGCAAAATAGTATTTTTTAAATCTTTTTTTGTGGAAAATCGCCTTTTTGTCGTCCGACATCTTAAATTTTGAAATTCACAACTATATATTTTTGTAACTGGGTATTCGAGGACGCGATATTTTGGGTTCCGGAGCAATTTAACAGTCGTTTTCCATGTCAAAATATTTTTTAAATAAAAATTTTTTTGCAGAAAATCATGTTTTTTTGCAATAAAATTGTTATAAATATTAAGGATTTAATTATAATTAAATTTGGACTTTAGAATCCAAAAGAGCGATAAATTTTACGTTAGAAATGGGCTATCCTGAATTTTTTGAATTATTTTTTCCTATAAAATAACAGCTGCTAAGTGAAGGTAAATTTTTCGTCCTGGCGGTCGTTAATGGGTTAAAAATATTACTTTACATTCTGGAATGTAAATTCACCGCCCAGATAAAAATCTCATTACTATTTTTGAAAAAAAAATTTTTGGGACCTTTTACAGTGCACATGAATTGTATATCTAAAAAAATTTTATTCTGAAATGTACAAACAGCTTGTAACACTGTAAAATTAATAATAAAAACTGAAAGAGAATCATATGTAAATGATCATACGACACATTTTTTTAAAATAAATATTACTTTAACCTATTTCCAGACGAAAATCATGAAGATTCAAGATCGTTTGCAGATGAAAGTGATCCTGTTAATATGGATGTTGATAATCAAAATTTAAACATCAATGAAGGTAAAGACAAAGTTCTAAATTTACAATAACAAAAGTCACTTTCGTCTTAAAAACATATTATCTTATGTTGTTTATTAACTATTAGATGAAATTCAGCAAGAACGTAACAGGGAAGAGGCTATTGATGCTGCTGATCATGATGCACTTTATTTTCAAGACCAAGAAGAACAAAATGATGTAATTGAAGCGGAATTTGTAAATGACGTCCTAGGAAGACAAGAAGGAGATTCATCGTTGGACGAAGGTTCTGAAGATGACGACGAAGAAGTAGAGGTTAATGAAGTATTGCCTAATGTACCACCTGAAATTCAAGAATTACGTCAATTAGCCATTGAGAAGAATATACCACCAACTACTTTGGATTCTTTATTAAAAATTTTGCGCCAAAGGTTACCCAGGTAAAACGATTCTACGGAAACTACTCCACGGAAATTCCACACTGAATTCCTTACGGAATTCCGTAAAAATTATATACGGAATTCCGCAAAATTTTTGAAAAAAGTTCTTTTGTAATTTTGCGAATTTTTTATAAGAATTACACACATAATCTCTATACAGAATTGTACAACATTTTTGTTGGAATTGCACAAAATTTTTGTTAGAATTTCACAACTGTACACTAAAAAAAATTTAGCCGAAATCCTCAACAACTTTTAGTTAACTGACTTGAAAGTAGTAAAAGTAACTACTTTTTTGGTTATTTTAACTATGTGTGTGTAGTCAATTTAACTATTTTTTATGGAGTTAAGAATTAGTAGTTAATTGTACTTAACAAAAGTAGTTGCGTCAACTCCAAAAATTAAAGCAACTACAAAATCTCATCGGACCAAATATATTCTTAGTTCTTTTATCTACTTTTTGGTAGTCAATACAACTTTTTAAATTTCGTTGAGGACGTATTGAATAACGCAAGGTTGTTAACAAGTAGTAAAATCTACTAGTCTTTTTACAGTGTATAAAATAAAATTTACGTTATGATCTGATGTATAAGAATCAAGGTGTCAACCGAACACTTTTAACGAGAATAATGACCTCTAAATGCATACTCAAAGGTATAGAATCAAACTTCCATATAATTATATCAAATAAAATAACAATTTTTTAAATTAGTTTTTGCTGTTACTATAACGAGTGATTTAGTTTTAAAAGAAAGTTAAATTTCTCAGCAATTTTTTGTAAATAATATAAGAATCAGCTTTTATGGTGAAAAGAAGTAATATATTAAAATTAAAATTGCAAACACATTAAATAAATCAGTACATTAAATAAATCAGAAATCTAATTGAATAAATAAAAAAATTTCAAGATGTTTCTTTTTGAGCTTTCAGTAATTCTGCTTTCTTTTCAATTCCTTTAATTTATCCTTCAAGCTTTGCTTCAGACCTTGGCTGGTCAGTCCCTGCCACTTCCGCTTTGCAGTAATAGCTTGTACGTAAGCTGGAAGATAAAAAAAAATTTTATTACAATTCTATTTTTTTTTATTATTTATGTCTTTTAAAGGTCGGTAGACAAATGTATTAAGTTTGGTACCTAATAACGCATTAACTGCTTTGAGTGGCAATCCTTTTAG